GGGGGGGGGGGGGCCATGGAGCCAGGCAGAGCAGCTGCAGCCCCTCTCACAGGGCCCACCTGGAGGTGGTGGCTTAGCCCCATGCCACAGAAGAAACGTCTATCCACTTGCTACCCCCTCCTCACCCCCTCTCACCCTACGCTGTCAGCTTTGTGTCTGCTCAGAGCAGCTTGTCCACCAAATTTCATTGCTATGGCACTACAGTGCCCTGCCTTTGTGGGGGTCCCATGGCCCCGCACAGTGTTAAAGGAGCACCGCACAAGCTGATTTGCCCCAGGCCCCGCACCCCTCTAGGAACAGCTCTGCCCCTCCCCACTGCACAAGCAGAACTGGCTGCTTACAGCAGCCCACTCCCTGCTGCATAGGCGACAAGGATGGTATGTGGTCCTCTGCCATGTGGGATACACAGGTGGTATGTGGATTGCCAGGCCCAGGTCCTTGCCTGCTGTGGCCTGTAGGCCAACAGTTAGACAGCCCTCTTTAAACTACAGGAAACCTGGTAAATTAAATGTAAGATAAAACTCTTAAATCCCTAATTATTGTGATACCCACTGGTCCACAAGGAGGTAAAAAGGGATGCAGGGAGCCACTCTTCCTCTGCTCCACACATAATTAGGTTGTTTCTACAGCATCTAGAGGTCATTGAGAGATACACAGACAGTGTGCTAGCTTACACAACAAAGGAACCCCATCTGCCCAGAACACGAGATAGCTTGTGTGCTGTGGCTCCTAATGAATGCTACCATGCAATCCTGCACAGAGAACTAGTACTCAGACATTTCATGTTGCACCTTTTAGGACTGTGGCTGACTGGACTTAATGTTGCACAACATTTGCCCCATGCTCCAACTTCCTTGTGAAAATATCACAAGGAAGTTCATCTCATGTTTTTGCCCTGCTTTAATATTGTAAGTGATGTCACATCAACACTTGTAGTGAAAATCCAGGTCCAGGATTTGTCAAGTACTTTGTTTAAAAACGTAGTTAGTAATTTCTAATTCCATATCTTTATATTTGGCAAATATATCTATATTATATATATCTATATATATACTGGAAAACTCCCTTTTTTGAGAAATATTTCCTAGCTAACTACATGACTCAACAGAAATACCCTGTTGTTTAGTTTTCTTCCTTTCAGGCCTCGTTTTGCAGTCACTGCACACACCATGCATGTAAAGTCCCCACTGACTTCAGTGGGAGTTCTGCATACATAAATGCTGAGAGATCAGGGGAATTCCTTAGTAACCTATTAGGTTGTCAGAAAATACAAAGCTATTTTACAGGATTTTTTTTTCTAATTGCTTGATCTGAGACCTAGCAGAGCATCTTAAAAAGAGAACATGACTCACAATAAAAACTTTCCTTGAATTCAGTGCAATCTTGCCTTGTACTGGCAGACAATGCTAAAATAATTAACTGCATTTTGTAAGAGGATGCACTCTGTTTTCACAGCCATATTGTTTCCTTTGATGGTTTAATTGCTCCATCTTTTGGAAAAAAGCCACGTTAAGATGATTTGTAATGTGTTATGCAAACATTTCTCATGCTTAAAGTCCAGGTGGTTTTCATTTTACCTTGATTTTTAAGATTACCAAATTCATCTTTCCTCAACAATCCTAATTTATTTTATGTGCTGCTGACAGCAAATTCTTTTTATCACTGTTAAGACTTTACTATGCAGGTCAGGAGAGAAAGTGCTGGTAGCATTTCATGATTCCCACTATCATCTGTGGCGTCATGGGGTTCCATTTTTATTGCCTGTCTGACTCCAGACATGCTCATTACAAAAAAAAAGTTTTTCCACTCCATAACTCTAACTGATACCAGCTCATCCTGGAATTTAAAAGTCAAGTGCAGTTTTTCCTTCTTATACATCATCATCAGAGAGCCAAACCTGTGTTGCCTTATTATTGCCTTCAAATAGTTGTGGTATATTTATTTAAAACATTACAGTAAACAAAGTAAATACAACTTATTTTATGCCTAAACTGAGGCCTTGAGCCTGGGGCAGCATATAAACCTAATGCATACATAAGCAGAAATAAATGCACAATATAAGCATCATTGGAATCCCATTAAATATAAATATATCAACTGCATATTTGTTCCCTGACTGGGGCAATTGGGCGGGAATAAATTAATGTAGGGAAGGGGACATTTGTATTATCTTGTGTGCATTGTTACCTGTTTTTTCAAGTATATATCCTGTATATCCTTTCACCTCTTCAGTATATACTTTACTCTTGCTACTCTTGTGCTTACTCTTGTTAACTGTACTTTAATATGCTATATAATCTTGACATATACTTTTTTTTTACTTGAAGGATCTAAAAAAAGAAAAAAGAATCCAGAAATTGGTTCATGGTTAGTTAAATTACGTTTGGCTGACAATGGCATAGATGGAAGAGGAAAAGGAGGACAAAATATGGTCTTGGAGTTCACGCAGTTTTTAATTTAGTAAGCTATTAACAAAAAAATGTGGATGTATTTCTTTGACTCGATTGTGAAAAAGATTTTTTTGAAGCAAAAAACCCCACAACATAGTAGTAGTCACAGGCTTCCCCCATTAAACATGAATTGTGGAACATGTAATAAGTGGGAAGGGATGATTTATGATACTGTGTAAGAACCTAATAACTCACTAGATGGATGCTCTTAAAAAGTGACATATACAATCTCTGTCCAAATTCCCAGTGCATTAGGTGATCTTCTCCCAAAAGAATTATTTTTCATCAAAACAGAAACATAAGAAAAAGGCAAACTGTGGATGTGTTTATTCTACAAAGCTCATTGTATGGATTGTATACTAGCCCTGGAATCTTGGTTCTCTCTCGCGCTCTCTCTCCCTCTCTCAAAGATTTTTGACCATTTGAGAGCCAGGTAGATCACCTTAATTCCAAGACATACTGACAGTGCCTGTGATCCCTAGCACAGTCTAAGTTCCTTTCTGATTGGGTCAGAAGTTCTTTAGTGGAGATGACTTCTTACATCAGTCACAGCTCTCCATGGCCCTTTAAGTCGTTGTCTCCACTTTGGATGGTGTTTCTGTATCCTTTGTTTTGTTCCCTACCTATTTATGTATTTACTGAAGGTTTTCTGACCCACACAGTTTCTCATATGCCATCTTCTGTTCTCCCTGTTAACTTCACTCAGGGTCAAGCAGGTTGTGGAATCAAGTTAGTTATTATATTGCTGGTTCTGGTTACCATATTGCTCTGTAGCTGCCACTAGAATATAAATATGAATAAAATTCCACTTTTGGATTAGAAAATCTTTAATGAAGATTTCCCAACAATCTTACAAATTTAGTATTTGTATGACTGTAAAGGTATTAACAATTCTGGGCAAAATATTGGTAGAATTTCTCATACTTTAATCAGCTCTGGAATCCACTTTTAATTTTCATTTTAATCGCTTGTTATCCTTTAAAGCTTTTTACAACTATAAGGTCAAATCCTGCTTACTTCAGTCATGCAAGCAGGACTATTTGCATGAGTAAAGAGGGCATGAGTTGGATCTTGCTTATTTTTTTGTAAAAGTGTTACAAAAAGTCTGCCATATTTTCTCCAGCTCCTTCTATAATCTCTTTGTGCTCTATTTCCTAAGTTGTTCTTATCTGATGCTGTTTGTTTTTGCCTGCAGTACCAATAGGATTCTAACATTTAACTAGCAAAATGGATGTAGCAGAAAACTGCTTGGTAGGGTTGCTACCCGCTGTGCCACAAATGAGGCATGCAGTGGATTTGTAAAAGTAACTAGTGGATCTACCAATCTGCAAATCTAATGTCCTGCATACACGCACACACCGGTAACCACCAGCTGTGGGTAGTGATACTACTACTACTCCGAAGCAGAAGAGAGGATGGGTGGAATTTCACTCCCTGTCCAGCCCTTTGCCATATGCTACCCTTTGAACAAAATCTGTTTCTCTTCAGGCTTTTTACAGTGCAGAGGGTTCTGTACTGTATGAGGGAGTCAAGGAGGATAAGAGAAAGCACCTTTCTTTCCCTCTACCCCACCCATCACAATGTCCAGCAGAATATTAGATTTTACCCTCACAGTCTCTCTCTTGTTTATACTATAATGTACTTTAAAAAAAATTGTGGACTTGTTTTCCTCCAATTATATTTCAAAATACTCCTGACTTGATAAATGTAACTAGGTGAAATCTTACTATACATGTTAAACAGGAGGTCAGACTAAATTGTCTAATTAGTCCCTTCTGACCTAAATATCTATGAAGTTTTGTTATAAATCAGACTTTTAAATCAAGGTATACCTCCTCAGGAATGCAGACTTATTGTGGAAACACGGACAGTCTTGTATTTACAACTACACAAGCAGGAACAGCCATTACATTGCATTAATCTTCCCCCTTGAAATAACAGTGGTATATAATCTTATGTAAATAAAATAAAAAGTCCTTGGCATTAATTATATATTACACTAAAATACTTAGATCAAATGTATAACATTGTTTCTTTTTTACTTAAAACAGTTTTCAGTCTTTGTTGTTTTTAATTCAGCCTAATCAAGTACTCTGAACACCTAATGGAACTAGACCTGGATGGCAATGCTATTGGAGAACTTTGTTCAGTTGACATAATGGATGCTCTTAAGGAGAGACTAAATGGTAAAATGTTTCCAACTTCCATCCTTGAACTTTAAAAACTACTTCACCTTTTATTTAAGGCTGACTGCAGACATGGGAAAAAATGGTGCTTTACTTTCACGTGGAGCCTAGTGCATGTCCAGAAAAGGCAGTACATTAATTGCACCAATATCTGTAGAGACTGGGCACTCTAGTGAGGCTTTTTTGGTGTTTTTATCTAATAGGTGATTGAATCCGCTTTAGCTAAAGGCCCCAAAAAGCCCCACTGAAGCACCCAATCTCTACAGTCACTGAAGAGCCCAGTTGACGTACAGTAATGTGTTGCTGCATCCATTAAAGCACATGGTTTTTTTGGTTATTTTTCTCCCAGTCTGTCAGCGTCCTAATTGTTTATTTTGCCTTAGGCAATGATGAATGGTATATTTAAGTTCAAGTTGTATTGAATCTGTACAAATTCAGTGCCATTTAAACTATAGTACAACTTTGATTATCTCAGAGAATTCTCAGCGAAGCAAACATCAAGGAAACAGAGACCTGTTTTCAGGTTTGCTATGCTTGTAGTGTGGTGAATGTAAAGAACAAGCCTGCACCAAGGATCTAGATCCCTCAAATGGTGATGCATAGTGTACAGATCTGGGTTGAAGTAAAGGTTCTAAGTATTAATAAATTAAGTGAAAATATTTTAAAATGTCTAGCCCTTTGCAGTGCCATACCACTCTTATCTGCTTCTTCTTGCTGTACCTTGTTTTTATCCTTTCCCGCACATATTCAAACTCCCTCCCTTCCTATAGAGCTGATACTCCTTCCTATTTGCTGGCTCATATAGGCCCATCCACACCCACAGAATTTTAATGAAGTTGAACATCTAGTTCAAACATTTTTTCTCTGAAGGATTGCTGCTGTTGAATAATCAAATATCCATTGGTATAGAATTGTAAATTTCAGGATCTTTAAACATAAGACAAGTTGTCATGGTTTGTTTGAAAGCAAAGTAGCTGGCAAGAGGATCTCTGTTCTGGTGACAGGCCAATCAAAACCACTATAGAAAAATGGAATTTGCGGTGGAATTCTGTTCTGGGGAATATTGCTGAGGTAGAGGGCTGAAAAGTATGAATACCTGCTTATTAGAAAAGAGGAGAGTATGTTTTTCATTGTCTCTACAGCAAAGATGCCCAACTTAACAATTAAGGTTACATACCAGATTTCCTCAGAAACTTTTGGGTCAATTTTCAAGAATGGCAAGAGGTCCAAGTCAACTAGAAAGAAAAAGAAAAAGGTAAATCTATATACTTGTTGCTTTTCCATCAAAAGAGCAGTTCAGTGTGCCATCATAAAAACACATAAATTATTCCAGATATGTACGGTTTTTTTCATACGGTGTTTAATGTACGTGCATAAAATTACACATGCAAGAATCAGAAGAGATACAGGGGAACTAGTGTTATCTACTTCACTAACATCTACTTCTAGTCAAAAGTTCTACTCAGAATTTCCCAGCAGCTGGAATATTTTTGTTAAAATAATCACCAGGGAAAAAATCAACATCAATATTTAAGTTGTTGTTAATATTGACAATCAATACCTAACTGAGAAACAAGTGCAGTTCATACCCTTAGACCCTCTGCTTTCCTTTATGACATTGCTCCAATAAACCCCAATAGAAGTAGCTGTTTTCCTGCCTTACGGCTTCCACAGAGAAGTAGTGTGCAGACTGTACATTTCAAAGGGCAATTTTTAGTAAGTAAGCCTTTACCAGGATGTCTGCCTGCAGTTTCCTCCCATGCACCAGATAGGGTTCTCTCCTATACAACTTTCCATGGAGCAGTTAGGCTTGCCAACTCTATTTGAATCTATTCCAGGAGGTTTCATCACATGACATAATGACATTAATGACTTTACATCAGGAAGGCAAATGTACATTACTATTACATTTTAAAAATCCACTGCCCTACTAAATAAATCAGATTCAACATTTAATATTTATTTTAATGAATGCCCTAGCATTTATCTCCTGGGTGAGTCTTAGCCATCTCCTGGAGATTTATTTCTAATTCCAGGAGACTCCAGGGCAATTTTGGAGGGTTGGCAACCCTAGTGCCAATGTCTAATTACCAGGGATCCGGGTTTTCCATTCACCACAGTAAAACATGGTAAAACATTTTTAGAAGAAAAACACAGATTTTCTCAGGAGAAAAATGTAGGAAATGGCAGGTTTCCCCTTGTAGGCTGGTGGAGTTCCAGCCTGCAAGGTGCTGCGGGGAATCAGGAGGAGGACAATCGGGCATGAGGCGCCATGTGCATTTGCAGAGCAGCAACATATCAGGGCTGCTTGGCACCACAAAGCAGTGTTGGGGGAACAGCCACAGCTGGACCCACATCCTGGTAAGCAAAGGGGGCAGCGGTAGCTCTGATTTTCCATGATAAAAAACCCAAAATCAAATGCCAAAATGCATAGGTATTTAGAATGTATTTTATTATAGATTGAGGCACTAGTAGACTTCCAAATTGCTTAAAATTGTAACTATATCAATAAAACACTGTGTTCAACTGATACCTACATATAGTGGCAATTCATTTTAATCATGGAAAAACATGGATTTTGGAGGCTTTAATAAGAGAATTTGTGTTTTTATTAGAGAATTTGTGATTTTTAAACAGAGAAAACCAGGATCCCTGCTAATTATGCAGTGCATTGTAAATTCAATTCAAGATACTCAGATGTAAGATGCAAGGGAAAAAAATACCAAAGTAGTCTGGCTTACTGCAAATCATCTAGAAAACACTTATGGGCTATTCTTTTGTTAGAACTGCCAGGTAAGGATTCTTGCCTTCAGAAACTTTGCCATTTTCTGAGAGCATTTATAATGGAATATAAATCCACTCAGCTATATAATAAAATTAATTCTGTTTCTGATATGAAAAAGATAGAGATTAAATTTAAAATCCTGGTTTTATTTAAACAAAAGTTACACTGATCTTATACTAGAACTGAACACTGTTTAAAAATAAAATCAGTGGGGAGAGGGGCTTAAGCATTCCCACTACTTGCAACTTAAACATTGCATCACTGTATTAGTACTGTATTTAATCCAATCCACGATGAGTCCCTCCCCCTTTCAACATATGGTTGGAAACCACATGAATTCTAGTATAAGGCTAGTGGGGCGGGGGTGGTCAGGCATTTGCTGCAGCTCCAACTCTGGCTCTGATCTGGCATAGGGAGCAGTTGCTGTTGGGACAAATGGTGGTTGGGGGGCAGGCACAGCTGGGCAAGTGGCAGGGGGCAAGGTACAGGCGGGGAAGCAGGCACCACAGGGGGGCAACTGGCTAGGGAGCAGATGCTGGAGGGTGCAGGTGCCAGTGTAGGGCAGGCAGTGGGAGGAGGACATGTGGTGAAGGGGTCAGGCTACTTAACTCCCTTACTACCTGGCCCCCTACCACTGCTTGCCCTGATGCAGCAGTAAGGGAGACTAATTTAAGATGACCTTCCACTTAGTGGGTTTTATAAAGGGAAAATTATAACTCATTTCTAGTACAGATCATTAGTATATACTTATCAGGGAGTTATCTTAAATTCAAAGTTGTCTTGGATGTGGGTAAATATAGGTATATCATAATAAAAAAAGGGCTCAGATTAATTTTGTCTATATCGTATAAGCCAGTGGTTTTCAATGTTGTTAAATTCAAGGCACCCCTCATTAAACTCAAAGCACCCTTCAGAAAAGCCAGCTCTTAGTTTTCACAGGTTTATTTTTACTATGGAAAAATAATAGAGCCTTTTTGCTGTTGCAAAGAACTCAGACCATGACACATCAGAAAAATTTTAACACTATGGACTCCTGTTTGAAATCTCTGGGTTCATCTTGTGAATCATGGATGCTTGCAGAAATTTTACCCCCACTCCCACACCTTCCCAAAAACAATGCTTTACTTTAAACTCGCTGTGCTCCCACACAGATCCCAGCGCATGGGACATGGGGCTGTGGGAGAAGGCATGGCATACTGCGTTAGTTGGACCCAGTTCACCCAAGTCTGTACAGAATGGTTGCTTTAGTGGGGCTTTTTTGGCACTGATTGACTCTCCTATTAGATAAAAGCCCTACTGAAGTAACTTGCTGCTTCTTCTGGTAAAGCGCTTTTTTCTTAAACATCTGCATGCAGCCCATGTTTGCACACCTAACAGTACTAACATTGTGTACCGCACATTGGCACCCTTGCAAGGAACTCAAGGTACACCAGGGTGCTGCAGGACCCTGGCTGAGAATCACTGGTCTAAGCAGAGTGACTGATAAACTGTAATCTATTTTACAACCTTAGCTACATTAAGAAATTTCCCAAAAGACTTTCCAGAATAACTATGCAGGAATAGTTATTTTGATACAAACCCCAAGGTGGTCAACTTTATTTCCAAGTTAGCCTCAAAAGCTTTTTGATTTACAACAGTTTAATTATTCAAGAATGGTTACTTCGATAAATTTCCGAATGTGGGAAAGCCATTAGGATCTGACTCTGCATTCTTTCTTTACACAGATTCACTCAAGTCCATGGTGATCAGCAAAGACCCAGGAATCTGTGCATGTAGATCAGAAGGCCTATATACATCAGTGTTTAAAATTTGGAAAGGAACACAGTTTAAAATATATATATATTTCTATGTTAATTATTTAAAATTGTATCACAGGTAAATGCTTTTCATTCTAAAATCATTCTGAACCAGATATTACAAAATTATTTTGAACATTTTGTTAAAATTTTGTTTTAAATCAATATAAGACCATCATGCTTTGAGAATTAAAATACAAAAAATGAACCTGAAAACAGTTGCCCTTTCCCATTAACTTCAAACACTTCATGAACAAATTATGCCACTAAATGCATTTAACTTTCATGCATATTACATAAGTGTTTGTGAGACTGAGATCTCCATATGTCATACATTTCAGATCAGTCAATCATGCACATAACACAAAATGTATAATTTATATTCATTACCTTTTTTCTTTCAGACAACAAAGTGATTGTTAAGCCTACATGTTCCTGCAGATGGGACTGTGTACAAAAAAATTAATATACTTCAGCAGATTATTTCTTAACATGGCTCTCTGCCTTTCTAAATACTACAGTTTTTGTGTGTAATTTTTTTCAATTTACTCCATCATATAGGAATAAAATGCAAAACATTATTGTATGAAACAAAGTATTTTACCATTGGTTATACTTATTTGAAGACAAACATTCAGCTATCTTAAAGCAGAATGATAGTAAAACAGAGAAACTCAAGTGAAAATTGTGTTTTGTTTGCATAATTCCTATTGGCATAAATGAAGTTATGCACATACATCAGTCACACTGATTACAAATGACCAGTTTGTTCATTGTCTAGTAAAGAAAACAGTGAGAACATATTCCCAGGAGCTTCAGTGTACCAATGCAAGCAATGTTAAAAACATTAGAATGTGCAAAGAATTTAGATCAGTTGCTCTCATTCAATCTAGTAAATTAGGCGTAAGTAGCTTCTAATTAAGTTAGAGGAATATAACAAACACACCCTTTTTCCTATGGGAGCTTTGCTGCCTAAAAAGAGGACCTTGATTCAATATTTCAATTAAATGCTGGTGGCTGAATGCTGACTAAGAGGGAAGAATGACACTGCTACATGTTCCATCCACAACAGACTTCTTCTTGAAGTAGCTGTTACCTCAAAGATCAAATATTCAAAGCAGACTAGGTTTAATTAATGGAATTTTTCACAATGATAACCAAATGTGGTATGAATTTTGTATTAACACTCTACAGCTCTGATTTCACAACTGATCCTACATGGACTGGTGATAGGTCCTTTGCCAGTTACAGGGCAGGAGTCAGCTAAGAAGTGGCCTTTGAAATGATGAGACTATTAGAATTACAAAACCCAGCAATAAACTCAAATAACTTAAAAACCTTAGCAAAAAATTTACCAAACACAAAAAAACATTGTGTGCAATTGGTGTCACCATTTCCTAGCATCACCAGCTTCTCTCGTGGGAAAGACACAAATGTGACAAAGGGAATGAAGAATTATTCAAAATATTGTTTAGTGTTCAAATTATTTTTTAAATGTACCCTCCCTGCCAAAAGCTGGATTGTTCCAAATCAGTCACAAAAAAGAAAAGTAAGGAAAGCAAAAAATGGTTAGAGGGCTGGGAAACATGACTTAGTAGGAAAGGCTCAGGGAAATGTGTTTACTTCGTGGGTGCATCTACACATCTACACAAGTAGACTAATTTCCTGTGCAGTAAAGCATCACCCATCTACACATGTGCAGCAACTGGGCTTGTGTACACTAATTTACAGTGCCATTGGATAGTCCTGTCTGATACAAGTACTATCTGGCTGCAGAGTAAATTATTGCACTTAACTATATGTGTAGATGGTGATATTGGGATTAATTTACTCTAGCTCAAATTGCACCAGCGTTTATTGAGTCATATTAATTACACATGTAGATGTGCCCACTCTGGAGAAGAAAAGACTGAGGGGGGATTTAATGACAGCCTTCAACTACCTGAAGGGTCATTCCAAAGAGGATGGAGCTAGACTAGTCTCAGTAGTGGCAGATAACAGAACTAGGGGCAATGGTCTGAAGTTGCAGGAAGGGAAGTTTAGGTTAAATTAAGGGTGGGCAAAATACAGCCATAGGCTGGATCCAGCCCACCAAGGAATTTTATCTGGCTCGCAGCAGGTTCCTTGGCTCCACCTGGCCCAGGGACCAGGGGCAGCTCAAGCCACAGCACATGTTACTGATCACACTTTTCCCTGGTGTGCAGCGGGACAGGGGCAACATGGTAGCCAGACTTGCTTTGCAGCTCCCTTCAGCCACTGCCATCACCAAACCCAGCCCCACTGCCC